AGTGGAAGAACTCAGCATTCTAAGGCAGTTTTTTCTGTGGTGTTTCTATTTTTATATAGGAATAAGTTTACTGATTTTATGAACTCGTTCATTAATGATCATTTTCCTTACTGTGATTTGTGTAATCATCAAATAATGTTCCGAACAAAACTGTATTTCTGGATTATGTAGGGGAAACATTTAGCGTTCTAAGATATTTTTTTCTAGAGCGATTCTATTTTGTTAGGAACAGAGTTCACTGATTTTAGGAACTCGTTCATTAATGATAATTTTCCCTACTGTGATTTCTGTAATCATCAAATAAAGTTCCGAACACAGTTGTAGTGGATATTTTTGAATAATGTAGGGGAAGAACTCAGCGTTCAATGGTCTTTTTTATGGTGTTCCTATTTTCGTTTAGGAACAGAGTTCGCTGATTTTAAGAACTCGTTCATTAATGATCATTTTCCTTTTTTGCGGTTTCTGTAATCATAAAAAAAAGTTGCAAACCAAGCTGTAGACAATATTTATGAATTATAAAGTAAAAAACTCAGCATTCTAAGATCGTTTTGTATGGGGCGTTTCTATTTTTATTTAAGAATAATTTCATTAATTTCAAGAACTCGTTCATTAAATTACATTTTCCTTTCCGGGGTTTCTGTAATCATAAAATAAAGTTACGAATAAAGTTATAGTTGATATTTATGGTTTATGTGTGGGAAAAACTCAGCGTTTCAAAGCATTTTTTTCTAGAGCTTTACTGTTTTTCGTTAGGAAAAGTTCATTGATTTCATGAACTCGTTCATTAATGCACATTTTACCGTCTATTGATTCTGTAATCATAAAATAAAGATTCGAACTAAGCTGTAGTTGATATTTCTGGATTATATAGTGAAAAAAACTCAGCATACTAAGGTAGTTTTTGTCTAAAGCGATTACATTTTTTTTAGGAATATGTTCATTAATTTCAAGAATTCTTTCATGAAAGCAAATTTTTCTTTCTGCGGTTTTTGTAGTCATCAAATAATGGTTCTGAGCAAAGTTGCAGTTGATATTTCTGGATTTTTAAAGTGTTGTACCACTTAGCATTCTAAGGTAGTTGTTTTTAGGGGGGTTTTATTTTGTTTTAGGAATAAGTTCATTAATTTAAAGAATTCGTTCATGAACAATTAATATTTCCCTGTCTGCTGTTTCTGTAATCATCAAAAAAGTTCCGCGCAAAGTTGTAGTTGATATTTTTGGATTATGTGTGGAAAAAACTCAGCGTTGTAAGGTAGTTTTTTTCTAGGAATAAGTTCATTAATTTCAAGAACTCGTTCATTAATGCACTTTTTCCTTTATGAGAATTCTGTAATCGTCAAATAAAGTTTTTAAAGGAAAAACTTAGCGTTCTAATGTAGTTTTTTTTCAAGAGCGTTACAATTTTTCGTTAGGAAAAGTTAATTGATTTTATGAACTCGTACATAAATGCACATTTTCCCGTCTATAGATTCTGTAATCATAAAATAAAGATTCGAACTAAGCAGTGCTGGATATTTATGGATTATATAGGGGAAATACTCCGCATTCTAAGATATATTTATGGATCAGGTTTATTTTTCGTTAGGAATAAGTTCATTGATTTTACGAACTTGTACATAAACCCAAATTTTTCTTTCTGTGGTTCCGGCAATCATCAAAAAAAGTGCCGACATGTAGCTGTAGTTATTATTTTTGGATTATAAAGGAGAAAAACTCAGTTTTCTAAGTTAGTTTTTTCTAGAACGTTTCTAATTTTAATTAGGAATAAGTTCATTAATTTCAAGAACTCGTTCATTAATGAACATTTTCCCTTCTGTTGTTTCTGTAATCATCAAATAAAGTACCGAACAAATCTGTAGTTTATATTTCTGGCTTATAAAAGGGAAAAACTCAACGTTCTGAGGAAGTTTTTTTCAAGGTCAGGTCTAGTTTTTGTTAGGAAAATGTTCATTAATTTCATGAATTCGTTTATTAAATGATCATTTTCCGTCTGTTGATTCGGTAATCATAAAATAAAGATTCGAAATAAGCTGCTTATATCTAAATCATATAGCTAATATATCTGAATCATAAAAATAGAGGAAAACACAAAGCACTGCATACTAAAAATTATCTAAGGCAGGCCATTTTTTTAAGAGTTGTTCTTGGCTTAGAAAACAATCTTGTCAATAAAAAAACACACAATATTTTTTTTTTTTTGAGAATTTCAGGACATAATGTCTAGAGTTTTTTTTTTCGTTTTTATTTATTTAAGTAGTTATGTTTAGTTGTTTATTTTTATTTTTCTTGTTGTTTTTTTTTTTTGGACTATACATTTAGGAAATAAATACAAAAAATTTTGGATTTCATTAAATTAAATTTTACAAACTAAATTTTGTTATAGATATATATAAAAAAATTTAAATTTAATGTGATGCGAAATAATATAGTCGAGTAGTAGTAGTCGTAGTTATAGTATTGGACAAGAAAATGTGTATATGTGTGAGTGTGTGAAAATTAAAAATAAATAATAATACAAAAGAAATATTACAAAATAGTCGTATCTACAAAGAGGGAAACATAAAACTTAAAAATAAAAAAAAAATATTAATGCATATTTTTTTAATGCATATATTTTTTAATACATATAAAACTTAAAAAAAATAATATTATTTTTAAGGATAGTTAAAGAGATTTTTTGTTTATTTATAAGCAATTGTTTTTTTTTTTGTTCTTAAAAATAATAAAAAAAAAAAATAATACAGTAACATTAATAATACATGTAGAACTTAAAAACTAATAGTAATAATAAGAATGAAATAAAAATTTACAAAAGAATTTATTTTTTTCAATTTGTAGAAGTTTGGTTAGGTTGTTTGTTTTTTTTTTTTTTTTTTTTATATATTTTTGTTTTAATAATTTTTTATAAAATTTGATTAATTTATATATATATTTATATATATTTTATTATTGTTTTCGTGAAGATGGTGTATGTATGCTTGTGTAAGTAAGAGCTGTTATTTTCTTTAAGGCAGGCACGGGCAGAGCATGCAAAATTCTGTTCTCACGCACTTGTCTTTGTGTGTGTGTCAATGGTTTTTCAATTGGTTCAGTTGAATGTGTGTGAGAGAATAGCGATACTTACTCTCGCGAGAGTGCAGAGAGAGAGAGCAAGAGAGAGTTAAGAGAGAGAGCATAAATTGTGAACAACGTTATTTGATTTTTTTGCAAAGCGAAAAATATGAATCGAGGCGAAGATGGGAGTTTTTAATTTGAAGCAGAAAAAATTAAACAAAAATAAAGTGAGGCTATACAGAGTTGGGAATATGAAGAGCTTGGGGGAAATCTTCTTCTAGAAGACAAATTGGAGGTCTTCTGTTTAAGAACGATTTTGGTCCAAAAGGAATTTCCGATATTCATTTCAAAGATGGGAGTTAGGAATCATTAAATATTCATAGACTTTTTCCAAAGAAAAAAATTCGCCAGACCCTGGCTTGAGAGCGCCTTTTTTCAATTTGACAACCACGGAAGTTTTTTTTTTCTAATGTAGAAGACCCATATGAGGTATTTTTCTGTCCTTTATAAAGCCCCTTTTCTATGGAGGATCCATGGGAGGAATTTAATTGAATACCTTCAAGAAGTCTTCTACCCATAAATACCGTCCTTAGAAATCCCAGAGGCAAATTTTCTACAGTACTTCATAAGGTCTCCTATAGAAGACGTTCAAAAAATCGTTAGAATTCCGTATGTTTTCTGTCTATAGAGGACTTTCAGAGCGATCTTCTGTCTATAGAAGACATTCAGAAGGTTTTTTTTTGCAACTGAACATTTTCAGGAGATCTCCTTACCTAGCAGAAGATCTATAGACCTGGATGAATTAGAGAGGGAGAGAAGGAGAGTATTTGTCCTCTATAGAGAATAAACATTTTATGAATGCTGCAGAGAGGTAGAATACCTTCAATCAGGGACGTACGCCGGGGGGCGGCCCGGGGGGCCCCCCCCCCCCCCCCCGAAATGAATTTTTTTCACAGTAAATTTATGTTTGCAACATCGAATTTTTCCATTTTGGACTACCGGGCCCCCCCCCCGAAATGAAATCCTGTGTACGTTGCTGCCTTCAATGGTCGTTTCTACAATGTTGTCAATTATGCGTTTCGTTAAGAATAAGTTCATTAATTTCATGAAATCGATCATTGTTGAGTTTTTTTTTAGAAATGTTGCCAATTTTGCGATTTTTTTGTAATTGTGAAAATTTCACTTTTGAAGTAGTTACATATTAAAAAAAATCATAATTGTATTGGAATCATTAAATTCTATAAGACATTAAGGCAACATTTTTCAATGTTGCTATTTTGGCGATTTTATTTTTAAATTGTGAAAATTCCATTTTTTGAAGTAGTTACCTACTAAGAAGGGTAATTTTATTGAAATCTTTAAATTCTAAAAGACTTTTGAAGACTTTATGGCTACATTTTTCAATGTTCCTATTTTGGCGTGTTTTTTTTTTTGAAATTGTGAAAATTGAATTTTTCGAAGTAGTTACATATTAGGAAACTTAATTCCATTTCAATCTTTAAATTCTAAAAGAATTTTGAAGTGTTTAAGGCAACATGTTTCAATGTTGCTATTTTGGCTATTTTTGGCGATTTTTTTAAATTGTGGAAATTCCAATTTTTTGAAGTAGTTAGATTTTAGTAAACATCATTTTTTCAAATTATTAAATTTTGAAAGAGTTTTGAAGACTTTCTATTTTTTTGAAGTAGTTACATTTTATCAATGTTGCTATTTTGGCGATTTTTTTTCAAATTGTGAAAATTCCATTTTTTGATGTAGTTACATATTCAGAAACGACAATTCCATATCAATCTTTAAATTCTAAAAGACTTTTGAAGACATTGAGACAACATTTTTCAATGTTGCTATTTTGGCGTTTTTTTTAGTTGTGGAAAATTCAATTTTTTGAAGTTGTTACACATTAAGAAACTCCATTCCATTTCAATCTTTAAATTTTAAAAGACTTTTGAAGAGTTTAAGGCAACATTTTTCAATGTTGCTATTTTGGCGATTTTTTTAAATTGTGAGAATTCCATTTTTTGAAATAGTTACATATTAAGAAACTCAATTCCATTTCAATCTTTAAATTCTAAAAGAATTTTGAAGAGTTTAAGGCAACATTTTTCAATGTTGCTATTTTGGCGATTTTTTTTAATTGTGAAAATTTCATTTTTTGATGTAGTTACATATTCAGAAACGACAATTCCATATCAATCTTTAAATTCTTAAAGACTTTTGAATACTTTAAGTCTACATTTTTCAGAAATTTTTTTTAATTGTGAAAATTTCATTTTTTGATGTAGTTACAATTCCATTCCATATCAATCTTTAAATTCTAAAAGAAAGACTTTTTCAATGTTGCTATTTTGACTTTTTTTGAAGGTTACACATACATTTTTTTTTAAATGTTGCTATTTTGGCGATTTTTTTTAAATTGCGAAAATTCCATTTATTGAAATAGTTACCTACTAAGAAACGTAATTTTATTGTTTCTTTAAATTCTGAAAGAGTTTTGAAGACTTTATGGCTAAATTTTTTAATGTTGCTATTTAGGCGATTTTTTTTAATTGTGAAAATTCCATTTTTTTTGAAGTAGTTACACAATAAGCAACTAATTCCATATCAATCTTTAAATTCTAAAAGACTTTAGAAGACTTTCAGGCAAAATTTTTCAATGTTGCTATTTTGGCGATTTTTTTTAAATTGTGGAAAATCCATTTTTTGAAGTAGTTAGATGTTAGTAAACATCAGTTTTTGAAATTATTAAATTCTGAAAAAAAATTGAAAGCTTTTAGGTTACATTTTTCAATGTTGCTATTTTGGCGTTTTTTTTTTAATTTCAAAAAATCTAGGAAATTGCTATAAAAAATATTACATATTACAAGAATGAAATTTCTTTTGAATTATAAAATTTTTAAAAGAGAGAATTGCACCATTTTTGGGAAAAGTTATTAGCAATGTTGCTAATTTTGCGATTTTTTTTTGTAATATGCTTTCAAATGGTTGAATGGTTAAAAAAAATTAAATTTAGCTCTTTTGCAATGTTTTAATAAAGAAAAATAGTATTTCCATAAATTCCAGAAACGCCTATATATAAAAACCTGTCGACAAAACAAACATTTTTGTAAAGTCGCCAATTTGGAGTTTTTTCTTTCAAAAAAAAAAAAAAGAAAAAAAATTGTCCTCTATTTAAATATTTTTTTTTAATGTAGAGAATTGGCTTTTTTATAATTTTTGTTTTAATAATATTAAATAAAATTAATTATTTTGTAGCAATGTTGTCAATTTAGCGTTTATTTTTTTTAATAATATTAAATAAAATTAATTATTTTGTTGCAATGTTGCCAATTTTGCGTTTAGTCTTTAAAATTTAAAGCTGAAAATCGAAAGAAAATTCATTGATTTAAAATTATTTGAATTAAAAAAAAAATTGGGAATTTGTATTGATTAAAATACATTAAAAAATATTTTTAAGACTTTTTTCAAAATGTTGCTAATTTTGCGATTTTTTTTTTTAAATTTTGGAAATTTAATTTTTTCTTTAAAATTTTTAAAACTTCAATATTGAAAATGTTTTCAAAAAAATATAAAATCGCCAAAAATCTATTCTAACTCTCTACGAAGCCATACGTAATTTACAAGCTTGCCTCTGTATATTTCGTAGCGTATTGTTGTTGTTGTTGTGTGTTCTTAATTGTTTATTTGTATTATAAATTCACATAGTTGTAATTGTAGTTTGCCGGTATTAAATTGTTTGTCTGTCTGTTTGTGTGTCATTGACGACATTTGGTTTCTATCAATTGCTTTTCTTCATTTCTAACACATATCACATTACATAGAGTAATGGGATGGAGAGAGAGAGAGAGAGGGTAGGGAGGGAGTGTGTGTGTCTGTGTTAAGTACATAATTAATTAGTTAAATATATATGCATATGTTGTTGTTGTTGCTGTATGTAATAGTGTAAGTCTGTAATTATTTAGAAAAACAAAACCGAAAACAAGAAACGAAAATCAAGTGTCATTGAATCGAAATTTTTTTTTATGTATGTATATAGTTTTCAAAATACCTATGTATGTATTTAGCTCGTATGTATATATTAAATTGTTTATTTTTTTAATTTAAATTTAATTTCTTTTTTTAATAGTGTTTTAGTTTTTTCTTTCGTTACTAATAGCTAAAAATTAGTTTTGGTGTTTTAGATGTCTAAATTTGTTGTTTTTTTCTTTTTATTTTCATTTCCATTCTTCTGATTTTTTCAGTTTTTATAAATTATTATTTTTTTTATAGAACTGGCATACCATTTAATTTTCTTTCTTTTTTCTTCTTTTCCATTTTTTTTTTAATTTCTAAAAATTTCCTTTATAAATGACTACTTTGCTTTGTTATCTAAATTGTTTTATAATTAATTATTATTCAGATATAATAGGAATTTATTTTTTATTCTCTCTCTTTTCGTTTTAATTAATTTCATTTTCTCTTCAAAATGTTATCTCTTTTTGTCTACTATTTATAATAAATTTTTCTTCTTCTTCTTCTGCTCTTGATAAATTTTATAAATGTTGTCAATAGTTTTGTTTTAATTAATTTTTATTCTACAAAGTTATATATGGGCTTTGATTAATTACTTTTTGTTCTCTCGCTGTAATCAAATTTTTTTATATCTTTTTTTTTAATTTTCTTTTATTTTTAATTTTCATAAAAAATGTAACAACTGGAAGTGGTGTTTTTAGTGTGCGATTTGGTTTTTTTCTCTTACAATTTTTTTTAATTTATTTTTTTTATTTTTATTAAATAACTATTATTTTCCATTATGTAAAAAATTCCCATTATTACTTATATAATAAAAAATTAATTGAATTCTATTTATTATTTTTTCTTTAATTAATTTTTTTTGTTCTAAATTTTAGTTGTCATGTTGTTTTGTTGTTTTTGTTTGTAATACATTTTTGTTCATGAATACTTGAAAGTCGTTGCCATTCTTTTTATTATATCCCGATATTTTTATTGATTATTATTATTTTTGAAGGATTGAAAACTAATATTTTGTAACAGAAAAAAAAATGACTTTTTTTTGTCTTTCAAAATCATAAATTTAAATAGTATAAAAAATTAGCGAATTTTGAAGTGACACACAAAGAATTATTTTTTAAAAATTTAAAATCGCAAGGGAAAATTATTTAATGGCATAATACGTACATACAGTTCCCTGCCTTAAAGGACATAAAGCCATTGAAAATTGATTAAAAAATATTTTTAGTTTTTTTATTTAATTCCTCATTTTTGGGCCTGTTCCCGTATTGCAAGAATCTACTCGATTTTACTATTTTCGATATCGATATCATAAAGGAATATTCGTTATCGTTAGTAAAAAGGTTTTAGATTCTTGCAGTACGGGAACAGACCATATGTTTCCTACATTGTTCCTACATATTAGGTCTGTTCCAGAACTTCAGGAACTTGCAGATTCTGGATCACACATATTATAATTTATTTTGAACAATATTGAATACATTTAAATGTTTAACCCCTTACCTCCACTGATCACAAGAAAATCTTGGCATTTTATATTTATATTGTAAATAAAAAACAATTATAGCACAAAACCCCTACTTTAATTTTGAATTTTTGGCCATTTTGAAAAATTAAATATCTGCTTTTTATAGTACAGTATATTCTGTCTCGAAATGTAAATTGTTGTTGTTGGTCTCCTGCAATAGTAACTATGGTATGGTAACTTCAAATGGAATCTGAAAATAGAAAAAAAATAAATAAAATTAATTTAAAAATAAATATATTTTCAAAATTTTAAGAATGACATATTGATCAGTATACTTAATTTTGTAGAGTTACAATTTCGAACAAAAGTGACCTTATATATGATAGATATATAATGAAAACATATTTTTAAAAGGGCCATAAAATGCTTCATAATACGCATTATGCAACAAGAAGGTGATGTATCAAAACAAAAACCTTTGTGTTTGTCTCGATTATCTGTCAAATTTTTCCATATAATATTTCAAGCGGTTGGCAACACTGCACATCCAATTCAACTAAAAATTACGCACTTTGACAGTTAATCAAGACATCAGCTGCTCTATACGGACTACCTATTCACTGTGCCATGATAATACGTTCAAATTTTTCGCTACAATATTTCACATGATTGGCAACATTGCACATCGAATACAAGTAGCGCTAAATTCCATCAACTGTTAATTTCTATTTAGCAATATTTCTAATGGGTGGCAACATTGCACGTCGGATTTAAGCAGAAACTATGCACTTTGGCATTTAATGCGATCATGATGCAATAATAAAGTGGTGTATCAAAAAAAAAAAAAAAAAATTATCCCGACCATCTGTCAAATTTTATCTAGCAACATTTCTCAATGTTGGCAACAATGCTCATCGAACTTAAGTAGAAACTACGCACGTGTCAGAAGCAATTGTCATCGACAATTTTGCATAAAAATCCCCCAAGCTGTCAAATTTTTTCTTAACGTTTATACACACTTAAATCAAAATTGAAAGTATTTTGACAGCTCGGATGAAATCATCTGGTTTATTGGACGACCATATTATTGGATCAAGCTACGCACTTTGACAGTTAACCAAGTCGTCTGCATCGCTAAATGAACTGCCTATTTAAATAGGTCGCTAAATAGAGTACATTTTTATTGTGCCATGATACACTTTATATCATGACGCAATAAATATGTAATCCAAACAAACACAGCTGATTGTCAGATTAACTGTCAAAATACATTATTGTCATTTGATGTGCAATGCTGCCACGCATAGGAAATGTTACTAGGTATGTTAGTTTAATTTTCCACTAATTTATTTTTTTAATTTTTAGATTTTGTCAGTGGCAGGTAAATCTGTGTCAAAAATCTCAGTGTCAGTGTCAAAAATCTCTATTTTATAACTGAAGTCTATTTTGACATTAGATATGAATTTGACAGCAG